GGACAAAGACTAGGTCTAAGGGAAAAAAGGAAGGAAGAAGAGGAAATTTTCAGGGGCCATGAGAGTTACAGCAGGTGACAGCTAGTGTTCAGATGTCAGCCCACCAGAGGAATAAGGATCTGACGGGGGTTAGTCCTGTCCAGACAAGGTCTGTCCCCCCTATACCTGCACTGTAGGGTGTAATCTCAACATCCCAGTCTTATGGGCACATGTAACTGTGGGTGGTGAGAAAGATGACTTAATTTAGATATACAGTCTTGATAGAATATATACTGAGACATGCTTCATAACTGGATCTATGTGTCCCACAAGGACTGTGGACATTAAGAGCCTGCCTTGCTCCTCGGCTCATTGGGAGACTCTATGGGATCTCCAGTGAGAGAATGTAAGTCATGTAGTCACAAACCTTGGTTCCCACAATCTCTGTTCCATTCCCCGAGATAAACTTAGAAGCCAGCTCTGTGAAATTATCCTTTTTGGGGGCAGGGGTTCAACATAGGATTTCTCTGTAGCTTTGAAGCCTGCCCGGGAACTCACTCAGTAGACCAGGCTGGCCTTACACTCAAAGAGATTTGCCTACTTCTGCCTCCCAAGTGCTGGGATTAAAGATGTGTGCCGCCACCACCACCAGGCTCTCCTGTCACCCCTTAAACCTGTCCCTTCCAAAGGAAGAAAGAATACAAGAGAGTCTGCCTCTCACCTGTAGAGGCGTTGATGATCACCGTGGTGCTTCTGATTCCTTTGTATTCTACCCACACGGAAAATTCATATGTAGAACCAGGAGCAAGGTTATCCACCACGACACTGGTGTTCGTTGTGCTTTTGTTTTTGTAGTTGCCATCATCTCCAAGCCACTGGACCCCATAGGTCAGGTGAACTGTGTCATTACGACCGTCTGGTTCGTCCCAGCTCAGGGTGATGGAGCTGATGGTCTGAGTTTCCACACTCAGGTTTCTTACTGGGTTTGGAGCTGAAATGGGAACAGAGGGGACATCAAGAGTTGTTCCAGGTGACAGAGGTAGAATGACTCAGACCTATTTATTCCAATATGGCAGCACAGTTTCCATTAGCCCCTGAATTCTTAGACTGTAGCTGTTTGTCACGAGGATGCTGGTGAGGTTAATGCACAGAGCTGTATTTATTACTAAGATGAATAATGTCAGACCTAGCAGAGCATGGTGGCTCCTGTCTGTGAATTCAGGACTCGGGAAGCTGAGGCAGGAGGACAGCAGGGGACAGAGCAAGATCCTGTTCAAAGAAAGAAGAAATGAAGGAAATAATAAGAATGTTACCCAAGTTCAATCTCATTGCTTTTTTTTTTGTTTGTTTGTTTGTTTGTTTGTTTGTTTTTCGAGACAGGGTTTCTCTGTGGCTTTGGAGCCTGTCCTGGAACTAGCTCTGTAGACCAGGCTGGTCTCAAACTCACAGAGATCCGCCTGCCTCTGCCTCCCGAGTGCTGGGATTAAAGGCGTGCGCCACCACCGCCTGGCCAACCTCATTGCTTTTTAAAATATGGGTTGCATGTAGAAATGAAATGCTCTAGATCTTTCCATGAAGCCTGATGGTGAGGGTGCTCACCTTTAATTCTAGCACTTAAAAGGCAGGTGGATTTCTGTGAATTTGAGGCTATCCTCGTCTACAAAAAGAGTTTCAGGACAGCCAGGGCTGTTACACAGAGAAACCCTGTCTCAAGAAACCAAAAAGAAAAACTAATCTCTCATGAAGGTCAATGGCATCTTTCTTCTTCCTTTCCCTCTATTTTAGAGCAGCTGATAGAAGACTGTAACTGGGGATTGAGCTTTCATTTTCCAGGCACACAGTATTGAGTAACCACACAGAAACTTATATTAATTAGAAACTGTTTGGCCTATTAGCTCAGGCTTATGACTGACTAGATCACACAATTAACTTAAGCCGTTTTTAATAATCTATATACCAACACGTGACTGTTGCTTACCAATATGTTCTGGTATCTTACTCCTCCGGCAGCTACATGGCATCTCCCTGACTATAACTTTTTTTTTTTTAGCGAGATAAAGAAAAGTCGTGATTCTTCATTGGAACCTGACCCCAGTCCCCAAACCAGCAGTCCTTCAAATAGCCCACTGAGCTGGGGGCCACGTGGGAGGCCAGAAGGCAGAAGGGGTGGGGCTTGCTTGGCTACAGTGAGGGTGTCCACATGGGGAGAGCACACACCCCAGCTCCTCCAGGCTTATATCACATTTACAAACACATACATAAATACATCACATACAACAGTGGGTCTGGGAGGCAGGCTTCCCACAGAGGCTCAGCTGACACAGTTAGGTCTCAGAATTCTAGGAAAGGGCACCGTACTCCCAGAAACATGCTCCATGTGTTCTCTCCTGCCCAAGAGCCCACCCTCGTGTTTTTCAGGGTCTAGTTTGTCCAGTATGGAGAGCTGCCATAGGTGGGTTTGGAGGCTTGAGACTTGGGCTGCAGGGAGCTGGGCTGGCTGCGCTGACCAGAGCCACTCGGGGTATCCTGCGGTAGGTGGTGGTGCAGCAGCTGGGAGTGGGGCTGCTGGTGGGCTGGCATAATATGCAGGAACGGTGCAGGTGCATAACCAGCTGCTGGTCCAGGGGCCAGCGGCCCGGTGGAGCCCAAGGCAGAGGGCAGGCTGAAAGGTGGAGATGTCCCTGCGTGAAATCCCTGCTTGTCAAAGTTCTGTGTCTTGTTGTAGACAGAACCAGTCATATCTGGTAGACCAGTGGTGCCTGAAGATACTGATACTCCTTTGCCAGCCCAGATCCAGGTGACTTGTTTGGTGCCTGTGATGATCCACCATAGCCACTCTTGGTGTAGTCTCCTGCTGCTGTCCCCTGGGTCAAATCATCATAACCTGTGCTGTAAGTGTGCTGCCCATAGCCACTGGCCTGCTGAAAAGGGGTAGGGGGGTGCTGAGGGTCACACCATGCTGCTTTGCTGAGGTCGGTGGGACAAACATAGTGGGTCCATACTGGAAGGCACTGGGCACGCCTGTGTAGTAGGGGAGGCCGGTATAGCTGTACCCAGGTGGCAGAGCAGGATTCAAAAAGGGCTGCTGTGCCGTGTGGTGGGTCTGAGATTGACTCTGCTGTGCCTGAGCTGGTGTTGGAGGTGCAGGGGATGCAGAGTCTCCTCGGCCAAACTTTGTGATGTCACCTGAGTATGGATTATTAGCTAAACTTCCATCTCGGCTGGCAAGGGGTGTGGGTGCTGCAAAAGGAATTCCATAGTAATCCATTGGCAGCCAGGACTGCAGCATTTGGAGCTCATCATATCCGTAGATCGGGTAAGCAGGGAGCAGTCCTCCAGGGCCCACGAGGTACTGATTGTGTAGCAGAGGAGGCACCCCTTGAGGCAGGTTTGGGGGTGCTTTGCCTGAGGTCACCAAGGCTGTGGCCCTGGTACTGTTGCTGGGCACGCTCACCGTGGTCCCACCCAGGCATAGGCTGTTCCCAGGCAGGACAACTCCCGAGGATGGGGCACTTGGGGCAGAGGTTGCAGCTGTGGAGAAGGTGGCTGAGGATGGGGTGCTCTCCACACTGGCATGAGTGTGTGGCGTGCTTGTAGGACGTGCTGCGTGTGCAGAAGACAAGCTGTTCTGGTGGCTGGAGAGGGAACTGGTAAGTTGAGAAAGAGGGCTACTGGACAGGTCCCCAGACTGGGACAAGGCGGGCAAAGTGGCAGTGTGTTGGGAGGAGGGCAGAAGTACAGTGCAGGAGGTGGTGCTGGGTAAGGAACCCACAGATGGGAGGGCTGCAGGGTCTGTCGTTTTTGGCTCTAAAATGGATGAAGTACTGTCCACTGCCTGCTGACTTCGGCTACCACCATGTCCGTTAGCCACAGAGCCTGGAGCTGGGTCTGGTGGGCTCGCAGAGCTTTGGTATGCAATCCGTGTATGCACAGAATTCTGGTCGTAAGAGGAAGACATAGTTACTGGGCTAGCGGAGCTCAGGAACGAGCTGCTCAGACTGGAGAAGGTAATGACTGAAGTTGTGTAGGTGGAGTTTTGTACAGCACTGGTCATTGGTAAAGAGGCATTCAAAGGGTCACTTAAAGACGTTGGGTACAAGCTGATAGGACTCTGACAACTATTTTCACTGCCTGAAGCTGCTGGTCCAAACTCAGAGAGAGATGGTTCTGACCCAAATTCCAGAGCCCCAAATTGTACATTCAATCCCGTGACATCTGTAGAACCAGGCATTTCCACTGCGGAAGCAGGAACCTTAGCTGGAGGTATCCGACGCTTAGGGAGTTTGATGTGTTTGGGCTGTGGTTGGTGGGCAGATACAATGTTTTCAACAGCCATGTTGGGAAGCTGCAAGAGTCTGTTGACAGTAGCAGAAGGACCATCTCCAGGTGTCGACTCTCGGTGTTTAGCCTGGGAAGGAAAGGACTCCAAACCAGGAGGAGGAACACTGACTGCCGGAGTCTGGTGTTGCTGTCGCTGGCTCAACTGGCTAAGAACTGGGGATGGCTCAGGCTGAGATTTGAAATCAAAATGATTAAGGACCGACTGTGATGCTGAGGGCTTGAGGTCCCATGAAGCAGTGGAGGCAGGGGGACTTGTGCTGTTCCGCTGTGCACCGGAAGTGGTAGTGAACGGGCTCATACTTGTTGCTTTCAGCTTCTCCAGAATCTGGGAATTGGTGATGTTCACCATCTTTGATGGGGCTAGCTCTCCAAACCCCGAGCCCAGGACAGACGACAAGCTGTGAGGAGAATAGGCGTTGGCAGAAGTGGAGCTGCCAGTCCCTGGCGCCGTCTGATTACTGTGTTGAGAATTTGTGAAGACGAGTGCTTGGCCAAAGCCCTGCTGCTGGGATGTTTCAAAGGAGTTGGCTTCTGCGGCTTGAGTGGGAGGGAAAGGCTTCTGGAGCAAGGCCACTAGATCAATGCTTTGCCCAGGAGTGATGTGGTTCTCTGCTGGAACAGACGAAGCAGTGAAGACTTTGGTTTCAGAAAGATCTTCAGTCCAGTCTTCTGGTGGCCAGTCTTCCACAGAATTCTTCCAGGCACCTTTGAGTCCATAAGGACTTTTATTTGGCAGCTCCCGAGATATATTGTGAGGCTTTGTTATCCCTTCAGAGCTCTCATTTTTACTATTCTGAGCAGCTTCCCAAACTCCCGACTTTGTCCCACAGCCGTTTGTGGATGCAGAATCTGAATAGTCTGCAGGGTTGAATGTCCCCATGCTTTGTGAAGAGAACCTTCCTGCCCCTCTGCCTCTGCCACGTCCAAATCCTCTGCCTCGGGCCCGCTTTCCTCGTTCTGAAGGCTTGTCTCCTTGGTTGTAATCAAATCCGTTTTCATCACCTTTGGATTCTCGGCCTCGGCCGCCACCTCTTCCTTTCCGGTTGTTGTTTCCCCGTCCACGACTTGTTTCTCTCTCCGTTCTCTTCTCTCTATTTTCTTTATTTTCGGAGTTTTCTTTCCCAAAATTCTTCTTCTTTCCCCCTACAGTCTCCCATGAGGCCGTATCTGAATCTCCTTCCAGCAATATATTGATAGCTTTGTTCACATCTCCATTACAGTCATGTAGAGCCACTATGCATTCGTCCTGATTTTTCCCCGTCACTTCCATAAGCTGTTTAACTTTTATTTCAAATTCTGAATCATTCTTATCAAAGATCACTTGTGCGAGCCGCATCTGTTCAGCCGTTGCATGTATTACTTATTTCTGTTGTTGTACTCCCCAAATTTCCTCAATCTGTGAAACCTGTGTGACTTGTGACTACAATACAATCTCATCCCTTGGGAGGCAAAGGCAAAAGGAATTCATAAGTTCAAAGACAGCCTGGGCTTCATAGTGAACTCCAGATGGGGATATGGAGTCATATCCATACTAGAGAGTGCACACACAAACACACATATATGAGAGCAATGAATAAATTAAGATAAAGTAAAAGAAAGAAATTAGATACTGAGCCACAGAGGAAGACAGCTGACAATAAGCTCTGGCTACACACACACACAAATTCTCACACACACATTCACACAGAGTACTAAGTCAGTCGGGGGTGGCATGTGCCTTTGATCCCAGCACATGGGAGGCAGAAAGTTTGAAACCAGCTGGGTCTAAAGACTGAGTTATGGTGAACAATGGATTAATATAAGCTACAAGAGCTAGTAAAAAGCCTGAGCTAATGGGCCAATCAGTTTATAAGTAATGCAGACTCTCTGTGTGATTTTTCTTTGGGACTTGCCAGCTGTGGGGTACTGGGCAGGACAGAAACCCCAACCGGCCCTCGTGTTACAGAATGGTTCCCACATGGATAACTGCATCCACATAAAGCCTGAGACAGCTTGGGAAGTAATTCTAGAACAAAATAACAGCATTATGCATGGCTTTTTGGTAGCAGTAATTTCTCGGGTCTACTCTGCTTGCTAGAGGCAAGCAAGTGCTCTCATCTAAGAAAGGCTTCCTGACTCAGCTTTAGCTGCAAAACCCTGCAGCTCTTTAAGAGGAATTGCCATGAAACACTTAAATAGTGTTTATAAAAGCTGACCTCATGCTTCTTGGTTTTCAGCTGTAGCAGAAAAAAAGCTGTGCCGTTTTAAAATGCCCACTTTCTGGGCCATCCTGCCAATGCAAACTCTGACTCTTTAAGGCAGGAGGTCCGACTACAGAGAGAGCATTTGAGTGTTGTTTGTGGACACACTGTTGCAGCTTGCTTGCTGGAAAGGACCTTGAAACATCATAGAGTTGTCGCAATAAACATGGCTACAGCCAGTACCTCAGCCATGAGGCTGAAATGTCAGAAAGCTAAGAAATAGGCTGGGTCCAGCCATCAAAGACTCGGCTTTAATCCTACCCACATTGATTAGCAAATTAAAGACTCATGTAGTCAGAAAAAGAGAGATATACAGTAAAGAGAGATTCAAAGACAAAGAAAACCTCTAAATGGTTTACAGTATGTTAAAAATATATGCAGGTTAAAGTTCTTAAAGTAAAAAAGAAAGAAAGAGAATAGTTGGGTGTAGTGATACACACCCTTAATCCCAACATTTGGAAGGCAGAGGTAGATTGACCTCTGAGACTTCAAGGGGCAGAGATAGATTGACTTCTGTGACTTCAAGGTGTTGTAGCACACACCTTTAATCCCAGCACTGGGCAGGCAGAGGCAAGTGGATTTCTGTGAGTTCAAGGACAGCCTGGTCTACAGAGTGAGTTCCAGGACAAAGATACACAGAAACCCTGTCTCAAAAAGTAAAGATATAAGAAATAGAGGTTAAAATAAAGCCACATAAAGATAAAAAACACACAGAGAATCTGGATACTGTTTGTTATTATGCTCTCTTTGAACTGTTTGAATGCTAAGGAAGGAGCAATAGCTGCTAAAAGATACTTGCTAATAAATGCTGCTGAATTAATCCAAGATAGGTATTTTGAAAATACCTTAACTTTAAAATTGAAGTCAAAAGGTATGTTACTTTGGAGAAGAGATTTTGCTTTTGTTTCCACAGGAAATGAGAAACTGTGGATTTATTCTGAATTAAGAAAAATCAGGTTTGAACAAGGAAGATCACCTGAGAAATCTCCAGAAGGAATAGATGGCCCAGATATCTGAGTTCTACATCCAGAACAGATTCAAGACTGCTGCCTGAAATGATCAAGACTCACAGGATACTCCAGTCAGGACTTGATTATAACTCTAAATTTTCTTTAGGTCCCTATAAGATTATCAACGCCCCCAGCCAGCAGAAAGTAGCCTAAAAAACTACACCCACATTCCCCAAAAGATGAACTATAGATATTTTCCTTTTTTTAAAAAAAAAAAGAGGGGGAAGTGGTAGAGGATAATTGTCTGTATTCTCTGTCAATCATGTTTTAAATAAACTCTGATTGGCCAAGCTGCAAGTATAGGCAGGTCAACCAGACAGGAAGTAGAGGTGGGGTGGTGAGAACAGGAGAATTTGGGAAGCAGAAAGCTCCCTCAACTCCTGCCAAAATCACAGAAGAAGCAGGATGTGACGAACCCCGCTGAAAAAGGGACTGAGCCATGTAGCTAACATAGATAATAATTATGGGTTAATATACATTGCAAGAGCTAATAAAAAGCCTGAGCTAAGGGGCCAATCAGTTTTATAACTTATGTAGATCCCTGTGTGATTATCTTTGGGACTTGCTGACTGTGGGGTCCCAGGTGGGACAGAAACCCCAAAAAGTTGGCCCTCATGTTACAGACTTAAATGGTCTAAGATTCCCAGAAAACCTCTGTCTTGAAAAACAAAATGATAAATGGATAGAAAAATAGATATAGATAGATAGATGATAGATAGATAGATAGATAGATAGATAGATAGATAGATAGATAGATAGATAGAATATTAATTAATTAAAAAATAAGAATGAGCCAGGATGTGCACATGCAGAAACACACAGAGCTATAGGAAGCAAGTAGGGGCCAGTGCATGGACTGGTACCAGAGTCTTTCATGGCTCCTCAGGATTAGTCAAAGAATCTGCTGTCTGTAGGGATGGTGGTTATCATGCAGCCTTGGGAATGGCTGAGATGTTGAAGAGATATCTGTCAGCCCTTCCAAGGGATTATAATGGAAAAGAAGTTAATAGAATGTAAGAACCAGAAGATAAAGAGGACATGCACAATGCTGTCTTGGGGATGACATGGCTGTAGTACAAATGAACCAGGCAGCTGTGCTTGTAGGTATGAAGCCTACATGAGATTAAAGCCCTAAGTACTCATCCTAAAGGGAGGAGGCTCTCTTGAGACCTTACCACTCCAGGATTGCTGATTGAGAGGAAGCCACTGTCTTCAGTGACACAGCCACCTCAGTGGGTAACCCCATACCCACGCCAGGTCAGAAAATAAAATCAAAAGTCAATGCAGTTGTTCCTCAGATCAACTGTCCTGAAATTGTTCTGAATTGGGGCTCTAATAGGGACCAACGGGAAGAACAGCTATTCCTAATCCTCACATTTATGTAGATCATGGACACCGTGATGGGGTGGGATGGCTGAGAACAATAAGAAGTCCAATAGGGAGGTGCAAGTTTTGTGTGATGCGTGAATTCCTGGGACGTGGCCAGTCACATGCTATGGAGATGGAATAGTTTTCTATAAAATTAGGAATGCTGGTGTTGTGCTCCCTTGATGCTCATAATATAAAGAAAGGGTCTTCTAGGACCCACTGGGTCACAGAACTATGAGAGTCAACTTCACATATGTCGAGTTTTATCTGTTTAAGGTGAGTGACAAACACAGATATTCGCTTGTTTGTGTTTCAGTCTAGTTGTGTTTGATTGTGCAAACCTTCTGTAGTCTCTCTCTCTCTCTCTCTTTCAACATGGTTACTCTGTGTTGCTTTGTGTGTTCAGAAACTCACTCTGTAGAGCAGGCCAACCTCAGAGTCAAAGAGATCTGCCTGTCTCTGGAGTCCAAGAGCTAGGATTAAAGGTGTGCACTACCAGCATCAGGCCCTCCGGTCACCCATAAACTCGTCCCTTCAAAATAAAGTAAGAATACAAGAGATTATGCCTCTCACCTGTGGAGGCGTTGAGGATCTCCGCGGTGCTATTGATTTCATTTTTTTCTACCCACACGAAAAATTCATATGTAGAAGCAGGAGCAAGGCTATCCACCACAAAACTGGTGTTTGTTGTGCTTTTAGATACATTGCTGTAGTCTTCTCCAAGCCACTGGATCCAGTAGGTAAGGTTAGATGGGTCATGACCTTCTGGTTCGTCCCAGCTCAGGGTGATGGAGCTGTTATTCTGAGTTTCCACCCTCAGGTTTCTTACTGGGTTTGGAGCTGAAAACAAGGGCAGAAGGGAGAATCATTTTCCTCATTTCCTCAACCTATGAAACCTGTGTGAGTTGTGCGTACAATACAATCTCATCCCTTGGGAGGCTGAGGCAGGAGGACTTCGNAAGTGAATTCCAGGCTGGGGGTATGGAGTCATATCCACACTTGAGTGTGCACACGAATTCCAGGCTGGGGGTATGGAGTCATATCCACACTTGAGTGTGCACACACAAACACAGACATATGATAGCAACGAATAAAGTAAAATAAATAAATAAGATACTGAGCCACACAGGAAAACAGCTGACAATAAGCTCTGGCTACACACACACAAATTCTCACACAACATTCACACAGAGTACTAAATCAGCTGGTGTGGTGGCATGTGTCTTTAATCCCAGCACGTGAGAGGAAGTCAGTTTGAGTCCAGCCAGGTATGCAGAATGAGTTACAAGACAGTCTAGGCTATCCAGAAAAACTCTATCTCGAAAAACAAAATAAAAATAAAAGATAAACGTTAGATAAAGATAGACAGATAAAATATAAATAAATAAATCAAAATAAGAATGAGCCAGGATATGCACATGCAGAAGCCCACAGAGCTCCAGGGACAAGTGGGGGCCAGTGCACGGACTTGTACCAGCGACCTTCATGGCTCCTCAGTCTTGGTCATAGAACTGCTGTCTGTATGGATGGTGGTTAAGAGGGAGACTTGGGATGGCCGAGATGTTGAAGACATGTCTGTCAACACCACCAAGGCTCAGAGATCATCATCAAAAGGGGAAAACAAAATGTAAGAACAGGAAGATAAAGAGGACATGAGCAATGCTGTTTTGGGGATGACATGGCTGTAGTACAAATGAACCCCAGCCGCTGTGCTTGTAGGTATGAAGCCTACATGAGATTAAAGCCCTAAGCACTCAGCCATAAAGGGAAAAAGCCCTCTTGAGACCTTATCATTCCAGGATTGCTGACTGAGAGGAAGCCACTGTCTTCAGTGACACAGCCACCTCAGTGGTTAACTCCATACCCACACCCAGTTCACAAAATAAAAACAAAAGTCAATGCAGTTGTTCCTCAGATCTCCTGTCCTTAAATTGCTCTTGGGTTGTGGCTCAAAGTAGGGACCAACGGGAAGCTCACCTAGTCCTGGTCCTCATATTTATGAAAGTCATGGACCCTGTGGTGGGTTGGGATGGCTGAGAACAATAGGAAGTCCAATAGGGAGGTACAAATTTTGTGTGATGAGTGAGTTCTTGGGACATGGTTGCTCCCTGATATTCCCTTCTTTGTGTCTCAGCCGAGTTCTGTTGAATCGTGGAATCTGCCACCTTCTGTCCTCTCTCTCTCTCTCTCTCTCTCTCTCTCTCTCTCTCTCTCTCTCTC